AAGGCGATGGCTCGAAGAACCTTGACGCGCCTTGCGCAGGGGGGCAACCGTTCCGATGGTGACGGGTGTCTCCCCAGACAAAACACCGTCGTGGGCTTCCGTGCTGCCCGGCAGCTCGGAGCTCTGCTTCCTCGTCCTTAGTATAGCTAAGATTCATGGAAATAGGCCCGCTCGACGAGCTGTTGGAGTGTGCATTTCAACCAAGTCGTGCCGACTTGAAATTGAATGCGGCATTCAATGCCACATTCACCGCCTATTCAAATAAAGATGGATGCACACGGAAGACTTCAATTCTGGCCACGCCAGTGCGGAGGTCTTCCATAAAGACGGTCGCTGTGACCACCTCCGGAAGGGGATCTGCTGCCATCCCGACCATCCCGGCAATGAAAGTACACATCTCTTGGACAAAGTTCACCAATTCCTTGTTGTCGTGTCGGGCGGCAAGGAAACGCGATCGCACGCGATATGCCTCATAAGGCGGCGAGAACACTCGTGAGAGCTGCAACTTCAGCTCCGCCCAGGATGAAAACGCAGCTCCGACCAAAGTGCCGCACGTCAGTGCCCATTCTCGCGCTCGATCACCGAGCTCTGAGATGGCCAGCGCAACGCGCTGTTGTTCAGTTTGGAGCATGGTGGTGCGATGGTCATCTCGACCTCACTCACCCAGAGCAGGAAATTCTTTCCATCCCTCCCCTCAAAGACCTTAACACTCACCATGAGCGGCTTAGGCGGGGAAAATCATCCGTCACACGGTGGCGTCATAGACGCAAATGAAGCAGACAACTTCTGCCGCAGGTGCTCTAGCAGCGCGTTTTCGTAACTTGAAACCGCCTCTAGACGCGCTTCGATTGCCTCGGGGCACGCCATCAGGGCCCAGCATGGACATCAGCTTTTTAAGCTCGTCCTGTATGCCTGGGGCATAGAGATAAACTGTTTCATCCTCGCAGAGGATCAGTATAAACGACTTAAGTGTAGATTGGCTACAAGTGCTACCAAGTGCAGCGGGGCTGCCGTAGCTTTGCGGTTTGAGGAATCATAAGTCAGGTCACCGACCTCTCGTTCTATACTTAGTACAAGTACGAGTTTAGCGGATCGCAAACTGCTTATTCCACGAGTAATTATAGCCTTAACCCAAGGCTGATTAACTCTTCGGTTTATATTTAAATCTGACTTTATTTAATTTAATCTGCGGCAAAGACGCCTAATTTTAAATGCATTGATTTTCCTAAATATGCATAGTAAAATGTAAATACATGTATAGCTACTGGCTATCCAGCCCCGTACTGTATTCTTATTTGGGTGTGGTCACACCATGCGCATCTGGTGTGACACACACACCCTGTTACCATGGTATGTGTAACCCCGTTACAGTTGTTGCTGCTTACGATCAAATTAATTCTACGTTTTTGTCTTCCTGGTAGGAGAAAAAGGATACTACGCGCAACGCTATTATGACAGGCTTGCATCGTCTGGCTTCATTTTGAGTTTGCTTGGTAACTTTAATAGCTGGCTTATAGGAATATACAGGGCTGTTGATAACACGAAACTTCGGTGTGGACGGACGTAAAATGCTCGCTTTATAAGGAGAAACGACGGAGTGCAGGAAGCACCTAGTGTTGTAGCGGGAGGCTGGAGGTGTCAATTTGAGATTTAAAGAGTCGCTGTACCCATTCTCATCAGAGGACATATATACTTTCTCCCAAGATGGCCTTAAGATCGGCAGTCTCGATGCCTGCGGCTTTTTCGGGTGCCCGTCGAGCCCAAAGGGCATAATCAATAGAGATCTACCGATGCGGACGAGTTCGTCAAAACAGAGAGATTAAGAAAAAATATATATATGTGCTGTGTGTGCTCGTTAAATGTTTATGTTAACGAAATACAAGGTATCCCTAGCTCAGCCACTATTTTAGTTATCGGCCAAGCTGCCTGGAAAAGAAAAAATTGTGAGCCTCAGTGATGTTCCTAGCTTATAGAAAAAAGTTTAATGAAGTTTGTATCGTATTGTTGTTTACGTAAATAAAATTTTGCGCAAAATCAAAACTCCTTGCCCCCGAGAGCCTGTAGCAGCGTGGTACCGATGAAGATGATTAAATGCCATTATAGAGATGCCCGACAGACACGTGAGCTGGTAGTCTCACGTCATGCAGTACCTATAGTCTAATTATTCTATACGGTAATCAACTATTTGTGGTGTTGGTTGAAACCGACTTAAATACACGTCAATCATAAAATAAAGCATGAACAAATGATTACTCATTTATTTGAGATGCTCACGGCAACTCGTGGCACAAAATCTCCTCCAGGTGAGATGCGTATGGCAAGTGATGAGTTTGACTTCCAGCTGATATATGGCTACTGTAGCCGTGTCATTTCTAAGTCAAAAATGTTATTTGATTTCAATTGTGGACAAGTCATCATTCCACGCTGTCAAGATCCTTGAATATAAAATATTATTTTGCCAAAAATTGGAGGGGAACACGCAGCCCTCGGGAATAATTCGTCGCTCAAACGATGGGTAAAACAAATATCGCGACTGACCTGTAGCTTATCATTACTCCGCACGGTGTCCGCGTAAATGAGTTCGTATCTGGCAGCTTCAATTTCTTGTGGTACTGTCAAATGTTTGAGCCACACACGCCTCGTACGTGACTGAAAGCCGCTCCCGAATAATCGCGACTAGTTATGGACTTAGAGAATTAAAAAGTCAATGGTGACAAACAATCACCCTCAGCTGTCGGTTCCAACATTTTTTTGTTAAACGTCTATCATTTGAGGCTAGTTTTCTTTTGCTGACAGCATTTACGAGGTACAAACGAGGCCTTGTCTTTTTCGGTATGCTGTACCGCGACTACTTAAACTCGAGCTTTTCCGATAGAAGTTGCGTTGACCCTGCGTGGGATCGTGATCCTTTGCACCTATCAATTCATCGAGAAAAGATACACAGATTGCGATTTTTTACTTACAACTGTATCACAATGCTACTTGGAAGGTTAGAGTTCTCGTTTTACTCCTTAATAAATTATGATCTATTGTGTCTGATGCGCACAGAGAGGTTATGCTTTTTTTAAACCCTAACGGGCCTTGGGCCAGATTTTTTCTCCAAGTTCTGTGCGACACACAAAACTTATATGAAAGGGACTGGGTAAGTTACAAAGAGGTCAGAGCAAATAGCTTATAATTGGAAAGTGTACACGAATATTGAGAAGAGCTTCACAGCCGCGGCGGTGAGCGTTCGCAGCTCTTGGATAAAGTCCATTAGATCATGCCTCCTGAACATTTGGGAATTCTTGGAAATTCCTCATCTACGGAGTTACTGTAATTAAGTTTTACAACGAACGTGGCTTTACAGCTTGAAGACTGCTTAAACAACATACGGTTGCTACATAAAGACCATTGCCAAATTCATGGACTTCCTAAATTTTCTTTTTCCAAAGATTTTTCGTCAATGCTATCAAAATGCTGGGCTCTGAGCATAAACGGCCTTTTAGTCAAAGCCGGTTGCATTTATATCGACGCTTGGTTGGGCGCTCCTCAATTTGTGTTACCAGCGTACATCTTCTTTTTTTATTATATCACGGTTGCTCTGCTGCACCGTGGAAGATATGGTGCGGTAGAGCAACCCAAAGTGATCAATCCTGTGTGACGACGGTGAGAGGCCGTAACATTTGACTTCCTGCACGAATGAAGTATGTATTGATAAGTACAAAGCAGATTAACCTTTGGGAATTGCAACATATAGTACATGTCTAAAGCTTGTTACTGGCCGGATTCGACAAAATAAGTTGTGACGAAGAACCAGTTTTATAGAATCTGTCAGTTGCTTTCCTTTTAAAAGTTTGTCTATATTATGATTTATAGACGTAATGACTTCTCAATTTTTTACCTAGCTATCAATATATACTATACTGTGTCAACTCTAATATACAATCTAATAGTACGTGAAAATTTTTATGGTTACATCACCTCAAAATCTGTTGATCAATGAACAATCGATCAAAAGACGGCCGGGGGACGTGACTCCTGGTGGGGAGCTTGGTGAGCCCCAAACACCAAGTAACCGCTTCTTAACTTTAACCGTAGTGGGACCCGAACCCTCACTTAACAGATTGGAGCCATCACTCTAAAACCACTGAGCCAAAATCCATGTCGAAATTGGAAGTGTAATTACCAATACTTATGCGCACATTTTTCTTGAGAACCTTTGAAACTCACACGTAAGGCTTG